CCATCCTAGACACAATGCAAATAGCTCTGCTAAATTTTGGAGCTCTACGTCAAATAATGTGGGCTGTATCGTGATTTCAACAGACAGACGGACAGACAGACAGACAGACGGACATCGTTAAATCGACTTAGAATTTTATGCTGATTATGAATATATATACTTTATGGGGTCTAAAACGAATATTTAGGGATGTTACAAACGGAATGACAAAGTTAATATACCCTCCTTTCCAAGGTGGAGGGTATAATGAAGCCGTTATATTAGGGTCTATACGACGACGTGGATATGCATAGGCAATCAAGCTTTTGTCGTAAGCCATTACATTATTCAAATGCGAAACTTGTAAACATTTTTGAATAAGGTAGCTAAAATCATAAAAATACCGAATATCGGGAGCTGACGTTATATGGGGGCTATGCGAAGACCTGGACCTGCACAGATAATTTTCTGTCATAGGCTGTAGCATCCATTACAAACTTCAAATACTAAATTTAAAACAATTCCGGTGAATAATGTTGCTAAAATCATCAAAATAACGAATATCAAGAGGTACCGTTATATGAGGGCTATACGAAGACGTGGACCTGCACAGGCAATTTTCTGCCAAAGACTGTAGTATCCATTACAAACTTCAAATACCAAATTTGAAACATTTCCGGTAAATAATGTCGCTCAAATTACCAAAATGTCGAAAATAGGGAGTTACAATTATATGGGGCTATACCAAAACGTGGACCTACTAATGGGTCATTTTCAATACCAAAAGTCCTTAAGGCATAATATACAATAGAGTAAAATTGTATCAACCTATTTCGTTTCGTTCGAAAGCTTGAGTGATTTCCACAGACGGACGGGCGTATGGTCATCGCTAATCGACATAGAATGTTGTGCTGCTTAATATACCCTCCATACTACGATGAAGGGTATAAAAACATATCGTGTGATAGAGCCTTAGAGACACTTGTCAAACATTTTTTCTGTCGATACAAACATCTTGAAAATATTGCCTCTTTTGTTTGCAGTTTTCTTCAACTCGTGGACAAAATGCGCACCTCGGATGAGAAAGAAAACAAAATTTACTTTGGTTTGAATGTACATACGCCATTCAACATTGTAGTTTTCATTCATAACTTTCAGTCTTCCCAAATTTTTTTTAAATTTCATTAAAGTTTTCTATTTTCAATTTTTAAATGTCATAATTTATTTTTTCGATAAATGCTCTCATTTGTTAAGGACGGCACACATTTCATCTTAGTTCTGAGAGCGATTTGAATGGAACAAAGAACAAAAATCTTTGTTGGCTCAGCTAATTTTGTGTTGGGAATTAAGTAGATATTTCTTAAATAATGGTCGAACAAGAAATAGAGAGCGAATCACGTACCATGTGAACTTAGCATTATGTAGAAATTGACAAGGTTGAGTTCGCTGACAAAGGGTTGCCATATTCGATTTAGCAAATGACTCTAAATCGATTGTTTTGCCATGGATAGAATAAAGCTACCGACTTACTTCATTAAGACTAAGGTGTGAATATTTTTATTGTTTTAATAAATATAAAATAAATTTAAATTCATTCTTAAGATTATAACGTTTAAATTTATGTGGAAGTCGATTTTGAAAATAAAACTTAAACCACCCAATGGTCGTGCTCATGGTAGAAGAATACAGGTAGTCGCATCGACACAGTTGCTGGGACAATGAGCTGTCAAAGAAAATTTGTCATTTAATGTTTTTTAATATTTACATTCTACACGTTGAACTTTGTTCAAAAAATGGTTAATTATAAATTATACTATTTATTACAATAAATGCAAAACGTCATAGTTTAAATACAAAGTCCATTTCCTATGAATGCAATTGAAGCGAATCACTGCTTAAGCGACGGCAAATAATCGAAATATAACACCATCAGTAAAAAGTAAACGCGAACTTCCCCGGAATAGCAACCACATACGTATTTTTCCTATGATTGACTTGCTTAATTGTATAACTACCGATTACTGCCGGTAATTTAATATTTCAGACCACAAACACTATTTCAGCAATACATGTATTTGATTTATGTTATAACACAATTTACATCAGCTGATCTTTCTGTTTTTTGTTTTGTATTTTATTGGCGGTTATATCTTATTTTTTGCCTACTTGACCCACTAATTGAATGTTTGTCGGTGGTGACTGCTCCCAAGATGTTGCAGCAGTCTTTACAAAGAATTGTATTACAGTAAATGCTGTTTTGGGGGGAGGGATATTTCTCTCACAAACTAAAACTAAATTACATATTTACCATTTATAGTGCTATCTCTTTCTTCTATCTCTTAATCTTTGTTCCCGATGAGATTGTTGATTCCGGTGTAGTCGGCTTCCATAGTAAGAAGAATGCATCTAATTGTGCTTTTGTTGCACAATTAAATGTTCAATAGCTAGACAGGTTGAATAATGTCATTCGTTTTCATTCATACAATCTTTACGAGAGACTAAGGAGATGAGGTTACGAGCACGCGTATACAGTAGGAGGCAAACATGTGTAATAACATTGTGTTTTTGCAATATTTCGAGGCAAACTCTACCTTAATATTGCAATGTTTATATTGAACAACATCATGATTCAACGTGTATTTGTACCTAATTTTCGTTGAGTGAATTAGGACACTAGAGTTTCCCAAAAGACACATTTTGACAGATCTATTCCTGAGAGTATAAGGCATTATCAGACGGCATGGTAGAATAATACAAGTATCCGCATCGACACAGCTGCTGGGACAATGAACTGTCAAACCAATTTTGGAATTAAACATTTTGAATGATAAATTATTGACTACAACTTATTTGAAAATTGCATAACCTAACAACCCCAGATCTGTGTCATGTAAGAAACCTCCCTATTTTCCGTATTTTTACGGTTTAGGCGACATTATTCACCGGAAATGTTTCAAATTTGGTATTTGAAGTTTATAATGGATACTACAGCCTATGGCAGAAAATTGTCCGTGCAGGTCCACGCCTTCGTATGGCCTCCATATAACGGCACGATATTCGTTATTTTGATGATTTTAGCGACATTATTTACTGAAATTGGTTCAAATTTGGTATTTGAAGTTCGCAATGAATACTAAAGCCTAAGACAGAAAATTGTCTGTGCAGGTCCACGCCTTCGTATAGCCCCCAAATAAGGGTACCTCCCGATATTCCTTATTTTGCTGATTTTAGCAACATTATTCACCGGAATTGTTTCAAATTTCGTATTTGAAGTTCGTAATGAATACTGCAGACTATGAGAGAAAATTATCCGTACAGGTATTTTGATGATTTTAGCTACATTATTCACCGAATATTTTTTCTAGTTTCGCATTTGAATATTGTAATGGCTTATGACAAAAGTTGTCTATGCAAGTCCACGTCGTCGTATAGACCTTAATATAACGGCTACATTTTGTATTTTTGAAATCTTAACAGAATTTTTAACGGATTTTATTTTTTGAAAATTGCCAAATTCGTTCCAAGCGCTGGAGGGTATTCAAAGTTCGGCCCAGCCAAACTTACAGCTTTTTAACTTGTTAATTATCAGATGATTTTCCCTCTTGTGTACGCAATTAGAAATAATTTTTATTTTATATTTTTTTTAATAAGAAATTTTTAAAATAGGAAATTCTTCCTTTTTATTTATTTTTTATTTGTAATAGAATACGAAAATTTGCGTGTATTGTTTCAATATAGGGGCTACAAACTATTTCGTTGAGACAAATCAATTAATTTCCTCTAGGAGTCAATTAATCCCTATTTACACGTACAAAGTTTGCTGAGAAGAAAAGCTAGTTTCGTCAAATTTTTTTCGCTACTCTCTTCCAAAAATGTCACAAATGCTATGTTCTAGAACCTGTAAGAATCTACTAGATTTGCAATTTTTGTTCGATATCATAAAAGGATAATCGGTTATCGTAGTAAAAACAATCACATTCTTGCTCCTCCTGCAATATACGAAAAGTTATGCAAATAAATAAAGTAAAAATAAATATTTTTATAAAAAAATAAAATTTAAATACATTTTATGGACTTGAACTTTCGTCCATCAGTGTTTGTTTGTCATACGAGATACTTACAACTTATCGTATGTTCTTTTATATCATCCCACCCTTGGGCGGGAGGTTAGCTGGGTGTAGGTGTTTTATTGTATTCAATAATTAAATTTTGATGTATGACACATCAGGAGAGACATACAAGTCCGAGCTTTGTACTCAAACTCTTAAACGTACATGCAGATACATGTGTCCAATTATTTGTATCTTTGTACGATTTACGTTGCATGATTACGGTAAACGGATATAGAAGCTTGTAAATACACACAAGTCAATAGCTCTATTATTGACATGGTGAACTTGCCGGTCATGTTAAATGATAATTAAAATAAAAATAGCATGTATTTATAACATATTTTAAGCATTTTTCAATCGGTTCGTACATAACCGAAACTATTTCTTTTTTTTTTTTTTTTCAAAATAAAAAAAAAAATTAAATTAAAAAATTTTAAACTTCATATAGTTTATTATTGCCAGAACCTGCAAGGAACTACTAGTTTTGCAAATTTTGATAACGTAAAGAGTAAATCCTTTGTCGCAGTAACAATTTCTGTTCTGGAACAGACCATACATGGTAGAATAATACAGGTATTTTTCAAAAAATTTTTAAATGTTTTTTTTTATTCGAAAATAAATAGATTTTTATATGTTTTCTGAACGACGAGGTTTTTATGATATGGATTTTTTTAACAATTTTAACAAATTTGAATAGTTTTTCATTCAAAATTTTAATTTCGAAATTGGTTTGACAGTTCATTGTCCCAGCAGCTGTGTCGATGCGACTACCTCTATTCTTCTCCAATAAGACCATATGATGATAAAACCAGGTTTACATTTTTCTTGTTAATTGTATCTTATTAAACAAAACTAATTAGAAATGTATCACTTAGTTAATGTGAAAAATCTCTCTTTTTATCGTTACAGTGCCCTCTATGCTTATATCAAGCTATTGCATCTCATCAAGAAATATGAAAAGAAAAATATGACAATTGCCGATATATTCCATACGAATGTATCGAAAAATCCCGACAAAATTGTAATTCTCAGCGAAACTCAATCATGGACATTCCGTCAATTAAATGAATATTCGAATCGCATTGCCAATGTTTTCCATAGCCATGGCTATAAGAAGGGTGATGTTGTTGCTTTGCTAATGGAAAATCGAGCTGAATTTGTTGGTACCTGGTTGGGTCTGTCGAAAATTGGTGTTATTACCCCTCTGATCAATACAAATCTTCGAGGACCATCTCTAGTGCATAGCATAACAGTGGCGAAATGTTCAGCCCTTATCTATGGTGAAAGTTTTACCGAAGCTGTTGAATTCATTTTGAAAGATTTACCGTCAAATGTGGCTTTGTACCAGTACAACAATGAAGCCCGGACACCAGTAAGTGGTAATGCCAAAGATTTGACCACTTTATTGGAAACGGCATGTAAGGATAAAATACCCGCCTCCGCCGAACGTCCATCCCATCATGACAAATTGGTATATATCTATACATCTGGCACTACAGGTTTACCCAAAGCTGCTGTTATCTCTCACTCACGGTAAGTATGATGCTGGATGGCTGTTTTTCATTTGCTCATTAAATTTTCATGTTGCAGCTATTTGTTCATCGCCGCCGGTATCCACTTCACATTGCGTTTCCAAGAGAAGGATATTTTCTATACCCCATTACCTTTGTATCACACCGCTGGCGGTATTATGAGCATGGGTCAAGGTCTACTGTTTGGTTCCACTGTCTCCATTCGTAAGAAGTTTTCGGCTTCCGGATACTTTGCTGATTGTGTCAAATTTAACGCTACCGTAAGTACTTGTAAAATTTCGTAGATAAAGAAAATTATGACAAATGAAGAATTTGGACTTTGACGTTTGATTTGTGACTCATATCAAAAATCAAAAATCGGTGAAGTGTAAATGCCACTTTTGGTTATGCTAAGTTCATATTGCACTCTCAGAACTAAGATGAAATGTGTGCCATCCCTAACAAATGAGAGCATTTGTCGAAAAAATAAACTATGACATTTAAAAATAGAAAAAATTTTAAAAAATGTTGGGAAGATCGAAAATTATGAATGAAAACTGCAATGTTCAATGGCGTAACGAAAATAAATTTTGTAAAAGTAAATTTTGTTTTCTCTCTTATCCGAGGTACGCCTTTTGTCCACGAGTTTAAATTTCCACAGAAAACTGGAAACAAAGGTGGCAATATTTTCAAAATGTTTGTTTCGGCAGAAAAAATGTTTGACAAGTGTCTCTGAATGACTTATCTAAATGAGCTATTCAGGCTAAAACATATTAAAGCTTAAATCGTGACTTCGCCGTGAAAATACAACACTTTTGCCACTTGTAGTTGAAAACAGTGGTGTATTTTCACACTTCATTCACGATGTAGTCACTTAAACTTTGATCTGCTTCACCATTTAAGGGAAAGGCGACGAATCGCTTTGAAAAGAAAACTGTGGCTCTGGTATTCGTTTACAAAATAAATGAAGCCTGCCAACAGCTATAATACAGATGTCGATGAGACACAGCTTCTGGGACAAAGAACTGTCAAACAAATTTTGGAATTGACAATTTTGAATGAAAAATTATTGAAATTTGTAAAACCTGTTGAAAATGCATCCTGTATTCTTCTACCATGAGTTGTTCTGTAATATGTAGCTCTATTAAGGGATGAAGCTGCATTATTAGGTGTGTCTGCTTAATTTTCCAGCAGGAATTGTCCAGCAACTTCTTTCTTAGAGAAAAGGTAGTTTTATTCTCTTTGGCAAGGAAAATGCGAAAAGTAAACAGACGGTATTCCTGCAGAAGCTTGCAACTAATCAGCTGATTTGTCAAAACAAACCAATTTGTCCCCTATAAGGAGAATTAAAACAAAGGGAGCAATACTAATTTTACAAGTTTTTTAAATAAAAATGTTGGAAATAGTCTTTTATTTTCTAATTACATATTAACATTTACGTTTTTCATATTTTGTAAATTTGTTCTCCAAAAACTATTAGTCTTGCTAATTCCAAAAAAATATTTTCAAATTGAAAGCACAAAAAGAAATAAACAAACAATAGAAAACATCTGATTGAATGTCGATTAATGAGAAGAAGAAGAGTTGCAAGTGATTGCAAGAAGGGTTAACAGACGACTTCCAGTAACAATTAGTAACAATTGTTACAAATTTGGCCTTCGAGGACATTTCCGATTGAAAGCACCAACAGTTATTTCATGTAACGCGACCACAAGGAGACGTTCGGTGTCGTTAAAGCCGTCTTCTTGTGGCTGTCGCGAAACACGATATAACGGATGACGTGTCTATTGTCTCATGACCATAAAGGAAGCCCGAGGCGACGTGTTATTCGAATTTAAGGCCTCGGAAAACTTCAGTGTCGATAAATTCCTCCTAGTACGGTTGATGTTTTATCAACGCGAGACGTGAAAACCCGAGAGGCAAGTTCATTCTGTTATGAGAGTAAAGGTTAGCGTTGACTTAAGCCAGTCAAAAAGCGTTTTATGTATTGTCACCTTAAAATAACACCCACAGAATGACTGCTTTATCAACATGGAACTCCGGTCTTTGTTTTCGATCCATGACGCATGGCAGGACATTGACCAAACGACGCTTTAAACGTTACAAGCAACAACAGATAGACATCCAGTGCCAATCAAGTGGTTGTGGTTTTATGGATGACGCTCCACGTTTTATGGACGTTAGTTCAAATCATGGGCTAAATTTGAAATTCTTTAGTTGTTTGACATTAAAAATCGATGTCGATAAGTTCTGCCACAAAAATCCGCTTATGTGTTTTAGCTTTTGGATTTTTTGCATTGCTTTACGGCCAAAGCAGAATGAACGCTTTACGATTTGTCCATTCAAGAAAAAGCACAAAGAAACGTCTCTGATATTCCATTTATGATTGTTGTGTTATCGATGACGCGGGACATGAAAAACGCATGGCGCTTAATTCTTTGGGCGTCATCACGTGATATAAAAAAGCATGTAATGCTTTTATTCTTTTATTCGTTTTTGTAAAAAAACCTTAGTTTTAACGGATCTGTCACATTATTAATCAATTTGCTCGTATTCGAGAATATTGATTGAAAGCGTTGACTTCTACATAATCCCTGTGATAAGAACCACTGTAGAATTAAGTAGGTAACCTCAAGCAATCATGTGTTTATTTTTTCAAAATATTCCTTAGATATTATCTGATTGTCAAAATGTATACTCATAAATCCATTGTATATACAAAAATTACAGATCTGAACCAGTTTTATGCAGCTAAATTTGAAAAGTACAGAAACTGCAAAGTTGGACATGTTTTCTTAAAATGATGTTACCTCCTTAATTCTAACTTGATAAGAATGTTGAAAGTTAACATTTCGATGCTTTTTCTTGCCTATTTTCTTTCTAATAAACATTTCCACATTTTTTTTACTTGCAGGTTGCTCATTATATTGGTGAAATGGCTCGTTACATCCTGGCAACTCCACCATCAGAGAACGATCGCAAACATCGTGTTCGTCTTGTCTTCGGCAATGGCTTACGTCCCCAGATTTGGCCACAATTTGTTGAACGTTTCGGCATCAAACAAGTTGGTGAATTCTATGGTGCCACCGAAGGCAATGCTAATATCATGAATCACGATAATACGGTGGGCGCTATCGGCTTCGTTTCACGTATTCTGCCACAGGTTTATCCAATTTCCATTATTCGCGCTGATCCAGACACAGGTGAACCCATACGCGGTCCTGATGGCCTTTGCCAGTTGTGCAAACCCAATGAACCGGGTGTATTCATTGGTAAAATTATTAAAGGCAATCCATCGAGAGAGTTCTTGGGTTATGTCGATGAAAAGGCATCTGCTAAGAAAGTTGTGTGTGATGTTTTCAAAAAGGGAGATATGGCTTTCATTTCCGGCGATTTACTGATGGCCGACGAGAAGGGTTACCTGTACTTTAAGGATCGTACTGGCGATACATTCCGTTGGAAGGGTGAAAACGTCTCCACCAGTGAAGTTGAAGCTCAAGTCAGCAATGTGGCCGGCTACAAGGATACTGTCGTCTATGGTGTAACCATACCCAATACAGAAGGTCGTGCCGGTATGGCTGCCATTTACGATCCCGAACGTCAAGTCGATTTAGACAAATTTTCAGAGAATTTGGCTAAAGTCTTGCCTGCCTATGCCCGGCCATTGTTTTTGCGTTTCCTGACCAAGGTCGATTTGACAGGCACATTCAAATTGCGCAAAGTCGACCTGCAAAAGGAAGGCTACGATCCCAGTGTCATCAGTGATGCCATGTACTATCAAACGCCCAAAGGCAAATACGAGCCACTAACCAAAGAAATCTATGACAAGATCTTGAACCACGAAATGAGATTCTAGATATATTCCAATTGCACCGAGCCGGTCGATCATCGTCGTAGACTGTAATTGCCTGGAGAAAACTAATCTAAAACAAAAAAATGTATTTTGTTTTGTTGTTATTTAATTGTTAGACGAATTTGTTAGCCGTTGAAGAGTGCGCAACATGTTGTTGGCCGCCTAATTCCTTTTGTTAATTTAGAACGGAAATGGAATAAATACTGTCAAATATTTATGTTAGTGATCTAAACTGTGTGGGGAAGAGACTATTATAAATGTAGTTTTACGATTTTTTTTATTATTTACAATGTAAACTAATTATATTAGTTATTCGTATCAATTAAGTTAAGCATTTATTTTGTTAACGTCCGCTGTTGTTAACAAAACAGAAGTGTATATTATATTCTATGATATTTTTTTTTTTTGTTTTGCTTTAATTTTTATTTCTTTATTTCAATTGTGATTATTTGAAAAAGTGCTAAAATTTCGTAAATCCTTTTTAAGTTCGCAATATATCTTGTTATTGCCTTTTTATGACACAAAAACATGTACAGTTTTGGCTAAAATATATTCAATCGATAAAAATAAAAAACTTTGTATTTTACAGTCTTTTTTTACAAATATATTCGCAAAATATGAGAAATCTGCTGATCATAAAGATCAAATAAATTTTACTTCATTAAAATTATACGAACTTGTTTTATTCATTGTGTTTTAAACATCTGATTCTACCGTCAGGCAAAACCTGTAAGGAAAAGTCAAAAGTCGGGCAGGGCCGACTATACGATACCCAACACCACTATGCATATTTAATAGACGGTACATATTTTAATTTTTTGTACCAAAATTCGGATGTGCCAAAATCCAGGTCATTTGGACTGATATTGGCCATATGGTGCACAATTAACCCGATGGCGGTTGAAGTTATATATGGGAGCTACATCCAAATCTGATCCGATCTCGATATAATATGACAGAGGTATCCATAAGTTATCTGGTACCAAATATCATTCAAGTGGAGTGTATATTACGCATGTGAGGGACTTAAAACCCCAAATCGGATGTAACTTATATATATGGGAGCTAAAGCTATATCTGAACCGATTTTCACCAAATTTGATGTAATTCATTCTAGACTGAACTCGATCAGATGTGTCAAAATTCAGATCATTTGGACTGATATTGGCCCTTTGGTGCACAATTAGCTCGAAATCGGTTGAAGATATATATGGGAGCCATATCCAAATCTGAACCGATGCTCACCAATTTCAATAGAGTTCGTCCTTGGGCCTGACAAATACACTAGGGCCCCGACTTGCGCCGTCCCGATTTGCGTCGTTTCAAGTTGCATCGGTCTGAGCTACATGTGGTTAGCAAATTTTCAAATTGCGTGAAATAAGGAGAATTCCCTTTTCTTTATGGCGCTATATGTACATACATATGTAAATGAATTTAATTTTTGTATGGTTTTTCTTAATTCATTGTTTTGTTATTTCTTTATAAAAATTACAAACATTTTTTGAAGTAAATGGAATAATTAAAAATGTATTCATACTTGTTTTTTTTTTTTTTTTTTGAATATTTTTCCAAGAAAATTAAATATCTATGCATTGTGTATATGTATAGAAAAAGGTGATTCGACTTGCGTCGTTTTGAATTGCGTCCCAATTCTCCGGTCCCCATTAACGACGCTAGTCGGGACTCTAATGTATTGTTTGGAAATTTTCATCTCAATCGGATAATAAATGCGACCTGCATTTTGTTCACAAAAATAAATGGACAGACGGACGGGCGCACGGACTGACACGCACAAATCGACTCAGAAAGTGATTCTATGAAGATCCTCAAAAGTAACTATGGGGTTATCTCGCTTCCTTCTCCATGTTACAAACAAATGCACAAAGACATACCACTATGTGGTGTAGGGTATAAAAATGAGGTGACTTTCCAACTTTCAAAAGTAATTCGAGTTGCCATCGATACAACTGATGTGACAATGAACTGTCAAACCGATTTTGGAATTGAAAATGTTGAATGAAAAATTATTGAAATTTGTAAAAATTGTTGGAAAATGAATATTATGACAATCTCCGTTTGCGTCGTATAAGAAAACGAACTTATTTTTGACTAATTTTTTTTAAAAATTTTGACATATCAATGTTACCAATATATAATAACTTACCTTGTCAAATTTAACTGCATTAAAAATAGGTTACCATCTCTGATTTGTGTATATCATCATTTTGATCATTTTGACAATGAGATGTCGAAGGTATAATTTTGAAAAAAATGTAAACATATGATTGCATGGCTTTACCTTCTTGGTTCTACAATGTTCTAAACAATAAATACAAGAAATTGGCAAAAGTCAGACTCACTTGTATCTTACCTTTTTATTGTACCATGATCCCAACCGTAAAAAATGTTACTAATTTTGGTGAAATTTTATCAACTGTGCAAAATAAAGAGCCGCCGACGAAAAAAATGTTCCGCTTCGTTATCTGCTCACCGTTTAGGCAACTTATTTTTTAATTCCCAACTTTCTGAATTATTACTCAAAGAATTATTATATATATGTAGTATTTCTCATGGTCTGCGGTTTATTTTTGCGAAGGCAAAATTTATAAAAATCCGGGAATATAAAATTTTAGCCGCCGCCGCCGGGAATTTCACATCGGCTTCTTTAGCAACTAGTTCCGCGCTCTTTAGTGAAGATGTTCAATTTTCTCATGTCTCATTCGTAAACAACAGAGTACCCCGAGTCTTTGCTTTCTGTTTATTTTTTATCATGTATTCCTTTGTGGCCTTCATATTCGTTTCGTTTCGTAACTGCCCGATCCCCCGTTCTCTTGTAGTATTTCTCACTTGAAAACGTGCGGTTTATTTTTGCGAATGAAATGTTATTAATTAAAAGATTTGGTAGCACATTTCAACGAATAAACACAATTTGCCAAGCCAAGCAACCTGGGGATTCACTAGGAGTTAGAGTATGTATATACATTTAGGATTTGTGCTACTAACCTCTCGCTATCGTAACGCTCAAAGGGATGGATCAAGAATATACGACGACTAAAGAACAACATATTCTTGGACATTAATGATGGTTCAACAACGCAAAAATTTCAAATTGTAGTACCCAAAAATGATGCCACGAAAGCATTGACAGCGGGCAGTCTAATTAAAGCCACTGGTAAAGTGCAACTTGCGCCACATGGTCATTATGAATTACATGCCGATGAAGTAGAAACATTGGGTAAGAGTAAAAGTAATCTTATGAGCTTACGTGAACCGGCCCTAATGTTTATATGTTTTGCTATAGCTGATGGTCACTTAACGGAGGGATTTCCTTTTTCACCAAAGCAACATCATGCGCCAGAGTATGTAAGGGATTACCTGCATTTACGTTCTCGTGTTGATTACATTGCTGCCGCAATGCGACTCAGACATAAAGCACAAAAGGCTCTGCATGATTTTATGGACAACAATGAATTTGTACAAATTCACACCCCCATAATTACCACAAATGATTGCGAAGGTGCTGGAGAGGTATAACTGTATGAATTGATTTAAAAAATTCATTAAATATTCCCATTAATTATATCTAGGTTTTTACAGTACGCCCTGACTCGGAGTCGTTACTTAATCAAATGTCACGCCCTGATGTCCCCAAAGAAAATAGTTACTTTGATTCGAAAGTATACCTCACGGTCTCGGGACAATTGCATTTAGAATCTATGTCCTATGGCTTGGGAAACACATATTGCTTTGGTCCAGCATTCAGAGCGGAAAACACTAAATCTCCTTTACATCTCTCCGAATTCTATATGTTTGAAGCTGAAATGACATACATTGAAGATTTATCCAGCCTTTGTACGTTTATGGAGAAAATGATCAAATCTATTTCGCAACAAATACTGGAGACAAGCTCATTGGATTTAGAATTTTGCCAAAAGAACGCTTTGGGCGACAAACAAGTTTTAGGGTGGCTAGATAAAAGTTGGATAACACTGAACTACAAAGAGGCTTTGGATATAATTGTAAGGAATAAGGATAAATTTAAAACTGCCATAACACCCGATGAGGGGTTCTCGAAAGAGCAAGAACTGTTTTTAGTGGAACATTGTAAGGCCCCTGTATTCGTCATAGACTGGCCTTCGGCGCAGAAACCGTTCTATATGAAACAATCCCGCACAGATGATTCCATTGTGCATGCCTTGGATCTGCTCATGCCCTCCGTGGGCGAGTTATGTGGCGGTAGTTTACGTGAATGCGATGAATCCCGGCTACGTAACCATCCCCATTTACCAAATGGACTTGAATGGTATTTGGAGTTACGTAAATATGGTGGTTTGCCGACTGCTGGTTTTGGTATGGGGTTTGAACGTTATTTGCAATTGTTGTCTGGTATTAAAAATATACGTGATGTCATACCTTTTCCGCGATATCCGCATAGTTGTAAAATGTAATTGTTATTTAATTTTAAGCAGAATTACCTTTGTAATTTTTAATAAAGTTGATCAAAGAAGTTTCCTCCTCTCGAATTAAGTTAAACTCAGGAATGGACAGGTTAATTAATACTCTTGCCCCATTAGTTGATGTAGCAGCATATCAACTTTTCTTTTTTTTTAGTCGAACTGTATGTATAGGTTGAGAAGGACTCAAATCAGAAGGTATACTCATGGATTAGGCTTCCCGATATTCCCAATTTGGAGTTCCACCTAATTCAAATGTTATCCTGATAGTTCTTTATTTTTTACCCAAGACTTAAGCGTGCTTGAGACTATGAAGAATCACTAAATGGCGAGTTAAAAAAAAACTGCAACAAGTTCCAACGCCATAATTTTTACATTTTTTTTAATTTATTGAATGAATGCAAAAAATGTCGGAAATAACATCAAATTTTAGAATAAGTTTAGATTTGTTCGAATTGGTCACCTTTGGCACGAATTGTGGCCTTCAAACGGCCAATGAAACCGTCACACGCTGCCCGAATGTTGCTCTGCGATATTTTGGCCCATTCCTTTCAAAGCACTTGCTTGAGGTGATCGACACTTTGGTATTTTTTAGTTCCAACCTTGCTTTCCAAAATATACAATAGTCCAACGAATTGGTATCCGTAAATTTTGGTGGCCATTGTGCGCTGGAAATGAAGCGAGGAACGTCATTTTGTAACCATTCTTGGGAGGCGCGTGCTAAGTGCGATGGCGCTGAGTCCTGTTGGAATGTCCAAAGGTCTGCGGCCAAAATGTTTGCGTGTCCAAGGCTTTAATACACCCTCCAGAATATTTTCGCGATAAATATTTAGCATTTATTCTGTTGTCACGGTCGATAAATACGAGCGGAGAGAGATCATCGTCTGCCAACCGAAGGTGCACATTTTCAGCTGACCTCTTCGGCAAGTAAACACGATCATTTTGTTTGTTTACAATCTGCTGGACAAAGAATATTTTCTCATCGGAGAAAACCAAATTCGGCAGTTCACCACTTTCGGCCAAGCGAAGCAACTCTTTAGCTCTTTTGAGTCTATTTTCTTTCTGTTGCGGCGTTCTTGCACTTTTTGGAATTTAAATGGCTTTATCCCGAACTCATTTTTCAATATTTGCCGAATGGAATATTGCGATATGTTCAGCTTACGAGGCATTTTTCGGCCACTGTCAAGTCGCTTCTTTACTTTTCGAACCATTTCTGCTGATGTTGCTGTTTTCTTCCGTCCACTTCCTTGACGTCGGGCTACGCTACCAGTATTACGGTAACGAGCGATGGTACGAGACACAAATGTTTTATTCACATTTAAATGCTGGAGTGCTTTAACGATTGCCACTTGAGGTTTTCCGGCCAAATATAAAGAAATCACATTATCACGCTTGAATTCCATCACGAGTAACTTTTTCACCAAAATGCTTTTGTACGCTTGTAAACAATATAATGAGCTGTCACTGGAATAACTTTAACAGCTGTCGGACGAGTGGCTTAGAAATGACAACAGTCTGAAGTTGGTTGCAGTTTTTTCATCTCACGCTGTATTTCTGTTAAGAGAATCAGAAGTAAAATTTGATTGTCTATTCTTTTAACAGAAATGGTGAGTCAGTCATGGAGTTTATCTGTTTCCCCCTTAAGATCTGGGACACATTTTCATATATCATCTCCACTTATCGCATACGTTTGAACTATTAGTGATAAATTTTAAAACTGTAGCTTCAGTAGTTTAAATTGGAAATACTTAATGTCTAAATCACTTTGTAAAACCACAGGTAAGGTGAAGTATTGCGAGAACGAATTGTCCACTTTCGGGGTTGATTACAAATTAAAAATATTTCATAAAGATCATCGGAGGCTAAGCCGTTGGTTCCAGTAATTTAAAGTTATTTTGGTACTAAACATAAATGATACAATTTTCATGATTAGAAAAAAAAGAAAGTAATCCTGAACTTAGAAGTTAATATATTTATTATCATATTTTCGTTCACATTATTTGTTTTAAACAATAATTGTATATGGGGATCTCAAAAACATTATGATAATGACATTCAAATGATAGAACTAAAAACACCAGAAACGTCGAGACAGTGTAACGGGGATAATGAACGACACAATTTTTAAATAATCATTTCTGAGAAACATCGAAAAATAAAGCCACTTGTTGCTTTGTTTCTTTACACAAATTACAAACGTTACGTTGAGTTTTGTGTAAAATTTAAGGGAATTTAAAATGCACACAAAAAATAAACTATTATAACAGAACATATAAAGGTATGAATGCATATGTAATTATACAAAAAATAATATTATGGAATAGTATTGCAAATTAAAAGTCGTTTCGCATTTAATCTTATCGTAGATACACTTGCAAATCAGACGCCGACTGAATTAGCACCTTAAGACCGGGCATAAAACCAGCACACTGGGAGAAGTCTGAGCCAAATGCAATTTGAGTATGTACTTGCAAGGCATTGCCATAGTCACCAATTTGAATGAATTGTATAATTTGATTCAAAGCATCAATGGTTGCGGAATGGAGCTGCAAAAAATGAAATGGATCGAATTTAACACTAACCAACAAGGAAACTACAATCTCAAGTGTGGCATCATTTTAACTTACCCTATTATCTCTTAGACAATCGTAAAGATTCTCCAATCGTTTGGTTACGTCAACAAACTTACGTTTAGTACGCTAGAAAAAAAATGCGCAAACGTAAACATATGTATGCATGACATGTGTTTAAAATAAATATTTACCGGATCATTAGTGGCATTCAAACAGTTTGTCTTCAATTCCTCCAGTACAGTTTGTAGATAAATATATTCTTCTGGTAGTGGCGGTTTTTGTTTGGGTGGTTCTGGTTGGCGTTGAGATGGTAAAGTTGCTTGTTGTTGCTGATTCGGGTCATTGTAGCCACCTACCACGGATTGGGTTGGCTGTGTTTGCCATTGCGGCACTTGTTGTTGTTGTTGCAGTGACTGCTGTTGGGGTATAGCAGATGTTTGGAAATTCATATTTTGTTGTGGCGGCATATTATTATTTTGCATAGCTGTGGCTGGATTATAATATGAACCCATTTGCGGAGGCTGTGCTGGATTCAATACATTCAATGGTTGATTTGGTGGTGGCATACCTCCCTAATAAAATAAATAGAAACATAAATAATTACTTCTCCAAGTATACATTTCTTTATACCAACCTGTTGATACTGAGCATTAGGATCCATGTAACCATTTTGATTTTGATTGGGATCAACACCAAACAGGGGATGAGTTATAGGAACTGGGGCTGATGGGGCTTCTGGTTTCTTGGGCTAAAAAATAATATTTCATCAATACAAGAAATCTAAACAAAATTTTTTCTCAAACAAGAATAAACAAAAGGAAAAGGTTGGTCTTCCATAAAATTGTATTAGGAAACAGATGGACAGAAGGGAAGCATTTTTAACAATTGTTAGCCAGCGAAAGACGTAATATTTTTGCCATACACAAATCAGTACAAAACATTATAACAGAAAGTATTGAACGTGTGCAGGTTGTTTGAGGCTCTTTTTTCATCATATACCTGATACTTATTTGAGGATTCGCTGTGAACTTGAGTAGTATTCGTAGCATAAGGTATATCATAATCATTGTTCTTCTCATGATTTATGACTTTTTGCCATTTACGAGTACCTGCATGTGTGGCTGACATTTCATTTGCACGGTTTTGGGAAAAATACGGATTCTATTTGAGGTTATTCGTTTGTTTGAAGAAAAGAGATTACCAATAAATAAAAGAACCAAAAAGAGATAGAAATAAAAAGATATAAAGAATGGAAAGGAATAAATAAAAAAATCATTTGAGTTTATGTTAGAGAAAACGATATATATATACAGGGTGAGATGAAAAAACTGCAACCAATTTCAGACTGCTGTCATTTCTAAGCCACTCGTCCAAACAGCTGTTAAAATTATTCCAGTGACAGCTCATTATATTGTTTACAAGCGTACAAAAGCATTTTGGTGAGAATTTCCCAGAAAAAAAGTTATTCGTAATGGAATTGAAGCGTGATAGTGTGATTTCTTTATATTTGGCTGAAAACCCACAGAGCAACCCTGCATTTAAATGTGAATAAATATTTTGTGTAAATTTAGCGTAGCCCGACGTCAAGGAAGTGGACGGAGGAAAACAGCAACATCAGCAGAAATGGTTCGAAAAGTAAAGAAGCGACTTGATTGAAACCGCGCGCAGTGGCCGAAAAATGGCTCGTGAGCTGAAAATATCGTAATATTTCATTCGGGAAATATTGAAAAATGAGCTCGGGGTAAAGCCATTGAAATTCCAAAAAGTGCAAGAACTTACACTGCAACTGAAAAAAATAGACTCAAAAGAGCTAAAGAGTTGCTTCGCTTGGCCGAAAGTGGTGATCTGTCGAATTTGGTTCTCTCCGATGAGAAAACATTCGTTGCCCAGCAGTTTGTAAACTAACAAAATTATCGTGTTTACTTGCCAATGTGCAGCTTCGGTTCGCAACCAGAACTCAAGCGCCGACCATGGTGATGGTGTGGGCCGCCATAATAGCCGAAAGTCGCTCTCCGCTTGTATTAATCGACCGTGGCGTCAGAATAAATGCCGAATATCATCGCGAAAATATTCTGGAGGGTGTATTAAAGCCTTGGACACGCAAATATTTTGGCCGCAGACCATGGACATTCGAAGAGGACTCAGCACCATCGCACACAGCACGCGCCACCCAAGAATGGTTACTAAATGAAGGTTACTGAATGAAGGACTCATTGAAGGCCATAATTTGTGCCAAAGGTGACAAATTCGAACAAATCTAAACTTATTCTAAAATTTGATGCTGTTTCCGACATTTTTTGCTTTCATTCAATAAAATTTAATAAAAATAAAGTAAAAATTATGGCGTTTGACTTTGTTGCAGCTTTTTTATCTCACCCTGAAAATGTAAGCGATTTATTGAAACATGAATTCGGTCACTCCCTCCGGAACGGAAATGCTAAACAAAGAACTCCATTTAATAAGATTGCGTAGTGCAGCTACCTGATTTGTCTGAATATAAGAATAGAAACGAACCAGTTACATGAATCCTACTGTATGAAAGTCTTTAGAGAATATGGGATATGTCAAAACAAAAAGGATACAGAAGCGATGTATTTGTTTCAGAACATAGACAAATTTCATACTTAATCCTGCCAAGTGCTATAAACTTTCTAACACCCTAAGGCTGTTCTAACCATTTCTTTTTTCATTTTCATTTTCTTTTCATTGATATTTTTTAAGCTCTACCATGAATCTTCAAAAATGTCACAATATCTCACCCCTTTGGGTAAACCCTTTAGGAAATGCCATTACTAATTCTGTAGGTCAGTCAATGAGCTCTTTTATCTATGAATGCAGATGGCTAAGAAGGCCATCCAATTTATGAATGGTTGTTAATATCAATTCTTTTCTTAAAATAGAGAACATTCTAATGATAAAATATGTCTTATCTTACCGGTCTTGACGATTTCAATGCTGGTGGATCATTCCATCCAGGTGGTGGTGTGGGATTGCGTTGAATATTTTGCATTGGTGGTGGTGGAATAGCAGCAGTTGCTGTGTCCATGGGTCCAGCTCCAGGCATATAGGCATTATTACTGAAAGGCGTTGAATTAAATGATGGTTGCATTATTTGTGGTGCTGGTGCAGCAGCATTAAATGGTGTTGTATTAAATGTAGATGGTGCTTGAATGGGTGCCGCGGTTGGTTGAAGAACTGGTGGTGGAGCTTGATATGTATTGCCGTAACCTCCCATAGGCCCAGCAGGAGCCACCGATGGATCCAACACATATTTGGCTCTGGAAATTAGACCGCCACCACTTGTACTACCACCTTGAGATGAAGACGTACTTAATGGACGTGGAGGTTGGGGTAAATTATCATTAGTGGGTGGTTTGACGGGTGTTGGAATTGCGGCACTAGGATTATATAATGTGGGTACTGGTGCAGCATTGGGTGGTGGTGCTGCCTGATTAAACGCACCTCCAGCCATTGGACTGCCAACAGGATTTGAATTCCATGTATTTGTGGAGGCATATTGGTTGGCATTATTGGAAGTTGCCAAATAACTCATGTTTTGATTTTGATGAGAAAACGAACCTCTAGGCTGTAGGCGTTGTTGATGGACATTTTGTTGACCCATCATTTGATTACCATATTGCGGCTGTTGCAATTGTTTTGGCTGCGGTTGAACAATATTAACAATACGTTGTTTCAAATCATCTAATTCTGGATGGGTGGATGATGCTTTTATTTCCATAATATAAGTCAAAGCGGCCGTAAAAGCACCTTGAGCCACCAGAAGGCCACCATACTCCTTTATAAAGTCAGCAACCTTTGTATTTAACTCAACAGCTATGCCTTGTTCTTCCAATGATTTATTCATAAGCATTACCACCTCGGCCAATTCTTGCAGTTCTGTGGTACTCAATTTATAATTTGGATTATTATTTTCCAACTGCTTCAAACTATACCAAGCTGTTACCAGCTTATCAATGTTACCAGCACATATGTAACAGAGCATAGCATTGCGTATGTAGTCCAGACTGGAAACACTCTCATTTAAAAGACGATCACCTAACTTTTCACAGATGTCTACCAGTTTACGTTCACTGTGGCGGAGGGCAGCCACCAACGCTTCCTTCCACGAATCGATGGTACATCGTGTTACAAAATCCATCCAATCGCGTGTCACTAATGCCGAAATTACATTGGACAGTTCACTTTGTTGTTCTTGCAAATAACGATTTTGTGTTTTTGTAAGAAATTCAATACCAGCTGTCGAGGCTATTATAAATGCTTCGGGTATACGTTTTGAATTCAAACATAACTGAACGGCAGCCTCAAGGTTACCGGTGAGCAGTGCTTCAGTAATTAGACTATCGGCATCTACAAAAAAATATATTGGAAAAATTAGAACAAAATATTGATCGATCGGTAGACGTTTGTTTTACTTACGCTCTCCGCTAGGTATTTTAAATTGAGGTTTCTTTGTCAACTCTTCATCACTTGCAACAGTTTTCTGTGAAGCAGCAATTCCATCGAATATTGCATTATTGTCAAGTTGTTGCTAAAACAGAAATTGAAAAAATTATAACTTATATTCCTTAATATTCAAGAAGTAGCAATTTTCGAGCAATTGCTTTATTCAAGCTTTTTAATATAAAAACCAATATATATCGATCCACAAAAATATTTACATTTTTAATGGAACCTAAGCTTACCGCTTACCATAAAACTATTTGTGCTGCCATCAGTACTTTGATCACATTCAACATCCGTTGAATCACTCTTTTAATTTTGTATAGCATGAGTATTTGTATCACAGTAAAAATTGGAAAGAAATGAAATGGATTTATTTACATTAAGCTTGTTGTGTGTCGGTGTCTTTTCTTTATCAAACTAAAATTATCAACACTCAATTCTCTATATTTTTTATAAATTGATAAAGAAGAGAGGAGCTGGCAGGCACGCATAGATGCTGTTTACACAAATAGTAAGGGTTTGTGATAAGAAACTAATTGAAAACATAATGCATACATAAATGACTGCACAAGAACTAATACTGAAAGTATCAACGTGGTAAGAAAGTGCTTATCAGTTTTAGAAAAAATAAAAAAGTAATTAAACAGACATAAGGGAGCAAACATTCTTTTCGTTCTTTTTTAAATGATAACTAAAGATCTGTTGATACAAATATTACTGAAATGAAAACTCAATACTTACATGTGTCAATTGGGCCATACGATTATTTAATTGATCCATATCTTGACTTTGTTGATTAGCATCTTCTTCGGGCAAATATTTGGAGAATTTACCATCAGTATCCTCCTTATTGAAACCTAAGTTTAACATAGTGAATTAGATATTTCTTGACGTAAAGCTTATGACTTACCTAATAAATTTAGAATTTCTTCTTTAGGATTACGTTCAAAGTTGGCCTTAATAAAGTACCATAAATAACGACCATTCTGATCGGGCATTTCGTCGGCCTTTTTTCGACAGTAATCAACAAAATTGGACTCCTCCAAAGACTTTTCCAAAGCCTGAGCCCTTTCGACAAGAACAGGCTCAGTGGTTACTTGGGAAATATTTATAGTTTTTGTTTTGTTATTGAAAGATACTAGTTTGCCACCAAACTAAAAAGAGACTTCCATGTTATAAATGAAATGAAATATAATCAATCTTATAGATACTTACGCCAAATGTTACCCCACTCGGTTTTTTTATCCACTTGGGTGCATATTTCAAATCCTGATATACAATTGGAGCCGCCTGTTGGGGTATGGGAGCCTGGGCAAACTGATCCATACCCGGAAATGAATCGGCAATTTTATTGGACGTCTGCACTTGCTGTTGAACACCACCAAATAGTGAATAAATGGAAACGTTGCCATCTAGGCTAGAGCTGGAAATTAAAGCAGGATTACGTGGACACCATTGTACGTCTGAGTACCACGTTGCTGTTGTGGCTACTTCAGACAGTATTTCACCTTCAGCAGATTGTGTGTTTGGATTCCAGCAATAGATGCGATTATCTTTACCACATGATACCATTAAATCAATATCTCGTGGACACCAAGACATACCCAAGACACCACGTTGATGTATCTGCATTGTCTTAGCCGGGGCCGTGGCATAACGCAAATCCCATAATTGTACCACCGGCGCCTGATCATCCTCGGAGGCTAACCATACTTGTGTGGCTGCTTCCGGATGCCACTGTATAGCATGCCAACGTACTCTGGATTGAGTATCAGAAAGTTTTATAATTTGTTCGCTTTTACGTAAATCCCAAATAACACATCTTGAACTAAATACCGATGCCAGAATATGTTGCACTTGACGATTCCAAGCAACATTCTTTACATCCTCGAAAGGTTGAGTTTTGGTGCCAGGATTCATATGTGTTGAGGTATTATTTAAATCCCATATGAAAATCTCCGACTCTGAAGCACAGGATGCCAAAAGATTGTTTTGGAATGGATTAAAATCCAAACCACTTACCGGACCGGTATGTTTATCTTGTCTTGCAATTAAACCATCTTCGTTTGCCAACATTTTTGAAGGCGAGTAGATCATAACATGACCACCCTCACAACCGCCCACAATCAAACCATTGCTGTGTGTAGCTCCAAAGCCGGTAGGACTCCAAATAATTTTCTGAAATCTTAAAAAAAAAGTGTCATCATTCCTAAAATTTCCATATATATTTTTTATATACCTATATTGGCTAGGTGTTGATGCTTTGAGTTCCAAATCATAGCTGGGATCACCAAAATTTGTCGAATAAATTTCCAATGTTGAATTTGCATTAGAATCAAATTGTTGAGCTGCAGTTCCGGCTGCCAGATAAATAGGATTCTGTGGCAATGGTGACCATGCAATGTTCACAGTTTTCTGTAACTCTTTGATTTTCATCTTGGCACAGCGATTTCAAATTATCCCAACAAAATCTATAGGCCAAAAGCCACCTAAAAGCAATAAAAAATTTCTAAAATTGTGTCAACCGAACGATCTGTGTTTATTTGCTGGGACCAATTAAAAATGCCCCCGTCATCAACTTTTCTAACTTCTTGTTCTCTCTCACAGCACTACTCTTTCTGCCTAAAGGTTTAATTTCAAGCTATACTTTAAAACCGTTTTTCCACAAGTAATACCTTTACGATTGTTTTCTTAATAATTAATTGTTTTTTTTTTTTTTTTAATTTATTTGATAAATTTATCTTGATTTATGAAACAAATTTATGCCGACGTATATTTTTTCGTTGATTGTTCTCAATAAGGGACACGTAAGTCGACTAGTAGACTTTTGAATTATGAGCAGACAATGCTGTGGAACGGTTTTTTTTTGGAGGCGGCACTCCAATTGTCACTGTGCTTTGTGTGCCGGTTGCCACATTTGTAAAGTTCTATCAAGATTTTGTAACTTAATTTTTAATCATGGTACATTGAAATAACGGTAACCTCAATTCAAATTAGCATTCCCAGCTCAGCATTATCTGTTGTTGTTGTTGTTGTTGTTGTTGTAGCAGTAGTACATGTGTGTGTTTGTGTTCTGCTAATCTGGTTCCAGCTCCAGGTTTAGAAATTCGGCTACTTTAACGGGCTGTAGCCAGAGATCCTCTGGAGTGAGTTGGGTAGGTTTGGCTGAGCAATTAAAAAGGTGTAGCGTATTGTGCGGGCCTGTATCACACGCCGGGCAGGCGTCACGCACATCTTCATCAATTCGTGCCCAATACGAATTGAGGCGACTACACCATCCTGAACGTAATTGCGCCAAAACTACCCTGGTTTGTCTGGGCAGCTGACGTTCTTCGGCTGCAATGGATGGGGGGTGGACTCCGAGGACGGCATTCACTTTATAACTGCTAATAGCATCCGCGACTGCATCGGTGTGAATGCCACTCAGACCTGCCTGATAGGCTTCTTGATCTAGAGGCTCTCTCTTGTAGCGCTGGACCTCCCTCTCTAGATCATGTATGTCCTTCCTGACGCGCCTGGGTGGGGGAGAGTTATCCACCATGTGATGGTTGGGATGGCTCTCACGGTAACACCCAAGCAGGTACTGCAACGAAAGCATATGATTATGCTGACGTAAGGGAAGGACTTTCGCCTCCTCATGTAGATGGTCCACTGGTGTCATGAGGAGGCACCCTGTCGCAGTTCTCAGGGCAGCGTTCTGGCAGGTCTGGATATTCTTCCACTGCGTAGCACTAGTATTCGCAGACTGGAGCCGCATAGTTGACCACAGACCGACCTATCGCGTTATAAGAGGTCAACAAGGTTTCTTTGTCCGCACCCCAAGAGCTGCCGGCTAGCGCCTTGAGGACCTTGTTCCTACTTTTCATCTTGTCGCAGATAGCTGTGGCTTGCGCGGACGACTTGAACATGCTGTCGAACGTTACCCCAAGAATCTTGGGGTAGTTCGTGGTCGGTATTAAATTCCCCTCGACCTGAACATTCAGCTGTGTTCTCATCTCCGCAGGCCATGTGGTAAAGAGTGTGGCCGTTGATTTCGTGGCGGATATTTTCATATTCCTCGCGTGGAAGTATGCGGCAAGCTCCGCGAGATAGGGGTTCAACCTTTCGCATATGTCATCGACCACTGGACCCGACGCCATGATCGTACAATCATCCGCATACGTTACGATCTCAATGCCGTCTGGAGGGCGAGGAATTCCGGAAAGGTAGAGGTTAAACAGTTCCGGAGATATCACCCCACCTTGGGGAACTCCCTGTTTCACTCTACGGGCTTTGGACTTCTTGTTCCGGAATTCCACGTACGACTGGCGTCCACACATATAGTTGATTATCCAACGTTTCAAACTTGGCCGGAGGGTAGTTCTCTGTACGTCCTCAAACAGTGTGGCATGATTGACCGTATCAAATGCCTTTGATAGGTCAAGGGCTACCAACACTGTTCTGTCACACGGCCTGTTCTGGTTTAGTCCTCTACTAATATGTGTGGAAATGGCGTGTAATGCTGTTGTGGTACTATGTTGTGGACGGAATCCATGCTGGTGGTTGGCAACTGCATAGCTTCCTCTAATGCTGGGGAGGAGTAAAGCCTCAAGAGTCTTTGCTACTGGCGACAAAAGCGAAATCGGCCTGTACGATTCGCCTTTACTGGCATCCTTGCCTGGCTTCAGTAGCGGGACCACCCGGCCCATTTTCCAGGTTTCAGGCACTATGTGGGTGGCTAGCGACAAATTGAGAACTTTTGTTAAGTACTCGACTCCCGGCGTATCCAGCTGCTTCAACATTACCATTGAGATTTCGTCCGGGCCCAACGCTTTGGATGACTTAGCGTTACGGATGACATTTGCAACATCACCCATCGTAAACTGTGGTGGTTCCTCCTCGGCGGGAAGAGATCTGATACGACGTAGTACTCTTCGCTTCGCCCTATCACTCTCGGGGTGCTCGACAAATTGTCGGTTAAAATATTCCGCGCACCTCTTCGGATCAGTCACCGTTACGTCGTTAAAAGTGACTGAGGTCCTATCATCCTTTTTTCCAGGGTTCGAGAGCGACTTAACCGTTACCCACAGCTTACTCATATCGGTTCCAATGTTGCAGCACTTCAGATGGTCTAGCCACTTTTTCCTCTTATGCTCCTGTACCAACCGGTTGACTTCCACTGTCAAATCACTGATTCTAGGATCAGTAGGGTTGGTACGACGGAGATCATCACGCTCGTTTGCTAATCCCGCTGCCTCTGCTGGGAAGTTTGGTCTTATCTCGGGTATTCGACCAGCAGGTATATAGCGAGCGGCTGCAGCTCTGATGATGTTTCGGAAAATCCTTTCTGCTACCCGAACATCAGAAGGGTTGGGCAGTTCTCTGAAGCGGCGGTTGGTGAATTCTCTGAACTCTGGCCAGTGAGCTTTCCCATGGTTAAGGAAAGTGCGGCGTTCAGAGGTTATGAAATCGGGCGACCTGCTTATGGAGACGATTATCGGGAGATGGTCTGAGCCAAGAGAAATGACGGGTTGCCAAGTCACGTCATTTATCAGACCGGGTGACACTATGGTTAAATCTGGCGAACTGTGACACTCTCCTCTTATTCGGGTGGGGGCATCCTCGTTAACCGTGCAGAATGTGGAGCAGTCAATCTGCTCTGCCAGCGCTGATCCCCTCTGGTCATTACCTAGGACGGAATGCCACAACTCATGGTGGGCATTAAAATCCCCTAGTACCAGGCGGTTATTGCCTACCAATAATGGGCTAATATCAGGCAAATAACGTGGTTCACAGCTATTAATCGGCGGGATATACACATTAAGCACCTCTACCTCGGCAGTTCCACACTTGACTGCTACCCCCATACATTCCATGTATGGGTCACTAGAGACTAGCTCAAGCGAGATAGGTCTGTACTGAACAGAATGGTGTAACAGGAACGCTAATCCCCCACCTCCACTTCTGGTGCGATCCTTCCTTAGTACGTTGTAACCATAACAACGTTGTAGGCTGCAATTTTCATTCAGCTTGGTTTCCTGCACCGCTGCGATCTTAATATTCCTCCGACTCATAAATTCCACTATCTCATCTATTTTGCCTCGAAGTCCGTTGCAATTGAATTGCAAGAATTATGCACAATCCGGAGTTGGAACAGCAACATGTGGCGTTAGGTGCTGCGGTGTTGGTTGCTGTTCTGGAGACTGCGGTGGAGTGCCATACTCCGACGACGTCTCTGACGAGGACGACGAAGAAGAGGACTCGCTGGGGACTACGTTACTGCAGCAAGTCGCAACATAGTCCCTTTCGCTGTAGTCTCGCAAACGCCTTAATCCGGAACAGTTCTTGAAGTGCACCCACTCTCTGCATCCATTACATCGCACCGAGACAGATCTGTGGTGGATGACGTTCTGACAAACCGAGTAGAACCAAGGTCCGGGGTTTTCCTCAATCCCGGCACGGACCAATAAAATCCGGAGCAAGCATTCCGGGATATGCTGCTCCCAATGCAGAAAAATAAACAAACACAAACATGTACATACTGGGTTGGCAGCCGCTGGCCGAAACTGGAATCTTGTTGTTTCGGGTCAATCCGGTATCGTAGAACCCGCTGCCGTGGGATTGAGCATTATCTGTAATTTACCTTGTCAAATTTTAAGGCATAAAAAAAAAAACGGTTCCCATCTCTGATTTTGTGTGTATACAAGGGATTTATCATGGCCGAAGAATACCGGTAGATGCATCCATGGTACAATGATATCAAGGTAGGGCTAAGATACCATATGATTCTAATTTTTTTTATTTTCTTGGCCTAATATGTCCTCTTTATTTGTTTATGTATGTGTTTTCTTTTCAATAACAAAAAATTGTTCAGAAAATATTCAAATTCGGATGTTTTCAAAATGTTTATTTCAACGTATGCATCGAGTTTTTGTAGCGAAGTAATCCTTTAGAGATATATAGTACATCATTTTGAAAAGAAGTGTTGACCTTTCATTCAGTTATCGCGGTTTTCAATTATTTATTCAAAATAAATGCAACAAGTTGTTTGATTTTTTATTGTTTTGATACTAATTTTGTCATTACATGCCAAACAGGTAGACCTCTATACTTGCAATTTTTTCAAAGTTGACCTACCTTCTCTTCATTGTACCATGGATGCATCAACGCTTGGGATCATTGATATGTCAAAAAAATTTAATGTTTTTTCAAATATAAGTAGATTTTTATATGTTTTCTTATACTACGTCATTCGGAGGCTATTATAATTCGCGTTTTTCAATAATTTTTACAAATTTAAAAAATTTTTCATTCAACATTTTAAATTCCAAAATTGGTTTGACAGTTCATTGTCCCAGCAGCTGTGTCGACGCGTGTACCTATATTCTTCTACCATGGGATTTATGAATATAGATTTTGACCATGTCAAATGTATAAATTTGAAGAAAATGCAAACATATGATTACATGATTTTACATTCTTAAGGGCTAAGTACATAAGAAGCTTGAAGTCATGGCTAGGCATATTTTGTGACTTTTCACAAAGGGATTACAGAGCCGCACTAAAATCCTGCCGTCGTTTTCCATTATAATTTGACATTTTCCATTATAATTTGACATTAATATGCCAAGCCATGACTTCAAGCGTTTTATGTACTTGAACCCTTAGGCTGTAAGTACATAAGAAGCTTGAAGTCATGGCTAGGCAAATTTTGTGACATTTCATAAAGGGATTACAGAGCCGCACAAAAATCCTGCCGTCGTTTTCCATTATAATTTGACATTAATATGCCTAGCCATGACTTCAAGCTTTTTATGTACTTGCACCTTTAGTTCTACCCATGGTTCAATAAAAGGTAAGGTAGAGCTCCCAGCTGATTACAATTTTTAAGTGTGCCCGACTTCTGCCAATTTTGTGTATGTATTTGTTGTTTTGAAAAATAAAAACAAAATATTTTCAAAATCAATGATAGGAAGAAACTTAAAATGCGGGGAACCCATTAATAATATTAACGAGATTCGGCATGGAATAGAAGAATTGAACAGTTAGGACCATATTTTTGGGAAAACATCCAAGTATTTCATTCATCTTTCGCTCTATTTGACTCATTTTAGAAATGGACAAAAAATATGAAATAAATGAAAACAACTAGTTGCCTATAATTTTGAATAATTCTGACAGGAAGCGGGCATAGCAGCAGGGTTGTATTTCTGTAGTTTACGAAGCTGTTCTTCCTCCTTATTGTACCACGGTTCTACCATGCTTTTAACCATGGTAAATTGACTATGGTTAAGCTTTCTTATTTCTACAATAAAAAAAAGTGTGCAGAGCTACTAGCTGATTACATGGTACAATAAAATCAAGGTAGGGTTATGATATCATATGATTTTATTTATTTTTATTTTCTTGGTTTAATATGCCAAATTTATTTGTTTACTTGTGTGCATGGTAGAAGAATACAGGTAGTCGCTTCGACACAGCTGCTGGGACAATGAACTGTCAAACTGATTTTGGAATTGAAAATGTTGAATGAAAATGCATTTTATAACAACCTCCGATTTTCATCGTATAAGAAAACATTTTTAAATCTACTTATTTTTGACAGATAAATTGTTTGACATACTAATTTTTCCAAGCTTTTATGTATCTACCAATATTCTTCTACCATGCTTGTGTGGATGGATTTATCAATATACATTTTGCCAATGCGATGTTGTCAAATGAATAATTTTGAAAAAATTTAAACATGTGATTGCATGGGTATACTTTTTTTATAATATTACACTGAAGTTCATTGTGTTTTTTTTTTCGTCTTATAATAAAAAATTTCGCTGTTATGCTTACCAAAACGCCAAAGGCTATGGTGCGGAAACTTTTTTCGCGGTTAAGGAACAGTGAAAACACATTAGGTAATATGGTCGTATATTACTTTTTTGTTGTTGCAAAATCGTCAGGCAAAATCCCATTATTGTTGTTTTTATAAAAACAACGTTTGTTTATGAGTGGAGGACGATGGTAATGTTTACCAGGGGGTAAGGCAGGGAATACCTAGGTTTCGGAAAAAGCCACCAATCTTCATCAGTTCCCTTGTTTCTTGTCTGGGATATTCTCCCCAGAAGTTATTTAAAAAATAACTTCTATGACAAAAAACATTTTTTACCCAAGTGACGAGATCGTAAGCTCAATAGAAGAGGAACAAAAGAATTACATAAAACTAAAATTCTTTTGGAAAATCTTCAAAATCTTACAACCGCACTTATAAACATTTACATCTTTCTCCACTTGTTATGCTTTCGTTCAACCTGAACGAAGTAACATAACCATGTAAGTTTGTTTTGTCTGTTACAACAAAAACCCCTTCGTCGACCGTGCCTGTGTCTATTAATAGAACAGTGTTTGGCTTGCTTGTTTGGGATACCATAGTATCCCCTTACCCCCTGGTAAACATTACCATCGTTCTCCACTCATAAACAAACGTTGTTTTTATAAAAACAACAATACTGGGATTTTGCCTGACGATTTTGCAACAACAAAATACTATGGTATCCCAAACAAGCAAGCCAAACTCTGTCGTATATTACATGTTTCCTAAAATTGTAAAATGTAGAATGGGATGTCGCTTTCCCATGATTTTCCAGCGATTGCTTGAAGGGTTGAGAGATTTGGACCTACAGCTAACAACAAAAATGTACATTTTAGAAATTGAAATAGTTTATTTAAAATTAACTGTTTTGTTTACATTTTTGGATATATAACTCTGACACTTGTATTATGTACAAAAATAATTTGTATGTGGTTGTTGTTACTTTTGTTGTACAACAACACTTTCTGTTACCTGTATTATTCTACGATGGTGTTTTAGTAAGCAAAGCACAAAGACAAAATTCTGGTTCTGTGAAAATGTGAAGTAAACTATTTTATATGGGACAGAATTAATAAATTAAAAAATTATAAAAAAAAAATATTTCGAATTCACTTTTTCATAGAACAAGAATTCTCCCCTGACCTTAAATGTTCTGTAAAAATGTGAAATGGTAAATTTTACAAAAGGAAAAGGTTTCAAAAATATATTTTGAATTAAGAAGGGAACAGGAACAGTTCTACACAAGGTCCCTTTTTAACTATTAAAGTGACATTTTGCACAATATCATATTTTTTTGAAATTTTGTTTACAATTTGTATACAAATTTATGCTCTGTTCCAGAACTTGCAAGAATCTACTTGTTTTGAAATTTTGTCGATATCATAAAAGGAAGATCGGTTATCGTAGTAAAAATGTTTACTTTCTTGCAGTTCTGGAATAGACCATTAATTTGAATTAAACGACCAAATTTTAAAAAGGGGGCTTCACACTTTGTCATTTTTCAATAATTACTTGCATAGTATGTTTCCGACATTTGGTATTTGTGTTGTGGTAGCACTGCTCTCGCGTAGGGCTTGTTTCGTGTGTATTTTTTTCTCCGTAAGAAAAACTTGGAAAATAGTTTGAAAATAAATTTATTATCAAAAAAAATTAATTTTACTCTAAAGTAGTTTGATATAGCTCGTATAGGCATTTGTAAATACATTTGTCAGAATTAATTTCTAAAAAAGTTGTCCACATTTGTGTTTTTCTGGCGGCGTATAGAAGTCGATTTTTTGCACTTCTAAACGTGTTTTCAAAAAGTTACAAATCATGGGTGATTTTGGTGGTTCTACAGCAGCACATAATAACTTAAATCAATCTCAAGCATTTGCGGCGGCTTTGCAACGTGCCAAACAGGTACATTCCAATTTGCGATCTTAAAAATCTGCGAATTGGTTATTTGATCTATGAGACGCATGTAGAAAGAGAGAGGGGTATATGTTAATGTTTCTTGCGCCTCATGTCAGTTTTTTTCTCTTTTTTAGATAGCCGCTAAAATTCAACCAAATGCACCCCCTTCCGGCGGAGCCCCGGCCGGCTTTAAACGTTCACATGACGATTCCGACGGAGGCCCAGACGTAAAACGTTTTACAAGCCCAGACGGAAGTGAAAGCGGACACAATAGCAATTCCAACATGAGCGGGGGTGCCAATAATCCTAATATGTCTCAAGCATTAGTCCAAGCTGCGGCTGTAGCTGCTCGAATTGCTGCAACTGCTGGAAACACCTGCGAGGAACAAATACGTTTACCCGACAGTGTAATGAATGCTTTCTACGGACGAGGAAGTAGTGACACCATAACGCATGTACAAGGCGAATCTGGATGCAAAATACAAATGGGACAGGAAGGTGACCGTGTTATTACGTTGAGAGGTTCCAGAGATTCTGTGACAAACGGCCGTGAGCTTATTCAGCAACTGGCAAATCGTAATGGTGGTGGTAATGTAGAGGTTGTTTTGACAATTAATATGCCACCTCCGGGGCCAACTGGTTTCCCTCCATATCAAGAAATATGATACCAGGAACAAAAGTTGGTTTAGTAATTGGTAAAGGTGGCGACACCATAAAACAGTTACAGGAGAAAACTGGAGCCAAAATGGTTATTATTCAGGATGGGCCCAATCAAGAACTAATAGTAAGTTTAAAATGAAAATTTCAAATCATTGTTGATGGTATTAAAAAAATATATACTTGTATAGAAACCATTGCGTATTTCTGGCGAGCCTCAGAAGATCGAAATGGCAAACAATTGGTTTTGGATTTGATAGCTCAAAAGGATGCCCAGAACCAGCAAGCAGCAAATGCTCGTCCTGGAATGGGTGGTATGGGTTCAAACAATGGACCCAGCGGTGGTGGTGGAGGCAACTATAATAACTTTGGAGCGAATGGTGGTGGAGAATCGTTGGAAGTTTTTGTGCCAAAAAATAGCTGTTGGTGTCGTTATTGGTAAAGGTGGAGACATGATTCGTAAGATACAACAGGAATGCGGATGCAAGTTACAATTTATACAAGGAAAGCACGATGAACCTGGCGATCGCAGATGTCTTATACAGGGTTCAAGACAGCAGTGGACGATGCAAAACGAATGATTGATGGTCTAATTGAAAATGTTATGGTAACTTATTACAGACGAAGAGAGTTCTTGGACAATTTGAACATGTATTTACAGCAACGAAATCGTAATGGTAATGG